GTAAGTACAAGGAATGTAGAACTTTATGATAGAAGATAGTCAATAGAGAAGAAACTGAAGAAATATTGAGATAGGCAAGGAAATTATGTCAACTGAGGACTCTGGGATTTCATAATGGATAAGGAAACTATGCAGCAATACCTTTGATCCTTCTGTACTCTTATTCATGTGAAATGTGCTTTTTATCTGGGATAAATTATATAAAAGTACAGTTCTGAGGATTATGTGAACATAGGATTATTTAAAAACTACACTCAATATTGGGCTTTGTGTCTGATGAAAGCAATTCTAAACCACAGGGAAAGAATTGCAGCGATGCAAGATGAACTGCAGAGAAAAGAGGCCTCCTTCCAAAAGCAGGTAAATTGCATTCCGATAATTGCAGAGTCCTTCAGCACCAGCTACTGTCTTTTTTAATGGACTGTAAAAGGCCTAAACATACAGTGTTTGGTGTGTTTTCTTTTTCAGAAGGCCATTTACAAGAAAAAGGCTCAGGACAACTGGGTAAGAATCTTTTCTTTCTTTTTTTCTGTGCACGGTTGACCATGACTGGCATGTGAATATGTTTTTCTTTTGCAGCTCAGGGCTCATGTTGGGAAGAGGGCAGAAGTCAAACAAATCAGCGAGACCAACTTCTTGAATAGAAGGTAAAACACTGGGACATTTATTTTGACAGCTTATTTATGAACTTCCTCAGAGAGAGAGAGAGAGAGATGGAACAAGAATAAGATGGACAGAGAGTATGAAACAGGCTTTTACACAGGGTCTTCTTGCTTCTATCAACCTCCAGACTAAACCTGCCAGAAATATGGGCATGGGCACATGGGCATGAGCATCTGAGGAGACCTCAGGTTGTGAATTTAGAAACTTCCTTGTGGCTTTACAATCGTAATGGCATTACATCACCACTTGCCCCATCTGCTGGACAAAGGTGGGGGCATTTTTAATGGTGTTCTTGATGATTTAAGATGAAGCTAGTAAAGGATTTGGTTTTCTAATTCTTATCAAGCCCATTCTTTCTCTATCTACAAGGTGGCCAATAATGCAAAGTCAGAGGATATGACAGGAACCCAGGCTGCAAAACCCAATGTCCGGTGGATCTGGCATGGACATCCCTCCATGGGGAGGTAGGTGCATGCTTAGGAGGGAGCAGCTCAGATCCTCGTGCAAACTATGTTTTATTCCTGGCGTGGTTGTGATACTGTTGACCTCAGGTTTCCCAGCCTGATGGTTCTTTGGACCAGTCCTCTGTGAATGGTGGCACTCAGGTTCATCCACTGACTCTGGACAGCAGAGCCCCCACGTCTCAGTTACTTTCCACTGAAAAATGTGCCTGGAAAGAAAATGGGTGAGCTCTTCTCTCCTACTGTGAGTCAGGGGTCAAGGCTTCCTATTGTCTTATTTTTAACTTGAGGGAAATGATTGGGTCATTGGGAAAGTTGGAAGATATTTTTCAATGTTTTTTTATACAAAAATGTGTCATGTCTTTTCCAATGACCCAATACACCATTTAAATTTTTCCATAACTTCATTCAGCTACATAATATGTTTAACCCTATCATGTACAAAGCACTGTGTTTTGTTTTGTTTTGTTTTTGTTTTTTGTTTTTTATTTCTTGGAGAGGTTTTTGCTATAGAGCGTGTGCGCTCGCCAGGCAGACAGAGAGAGACAGAGAGACAGAAAGCGAGAAATCACCCCCCGGGGAGGATAACCAAGCCACAATCCCTTCTCCTCCATTCTCCTCTTGGGATCTTAGGCACGCATGCACATGCGCCCGGCGTGAGTTTTAAGCCACCGGATCCAGGACACGAACCGCGGTCAACTACATGGGAATCCAGCGACATAGGCATTATGCTAACTGCTGGTCCCACACTGTGTGTTTTTTATTACTCTCATTATTAGTCTCTTTATGTCCATTTCTGCTTATATATTTTTATATAATCCCTAGTCAGGTAGGGAAGTCAGATTATATATAGACCAATATTGAAATAATTCATTCAGGATCAAAGAAAATCTCTGGTGCTATTCATGTCATTGGTTTATTAACCTTCTTTCTAGCCAACTGTTTTTTATTTCACATTTTTTCCTCTGCTAAAATTGTAATTTCTTGTGTGTTCATTGGGAAACTCCACTTTTATTTGTGATTATTAACTAGTTTGAGCCCTGATGTATCTACTGTTGATTGACTTTTTATGAAAACCCCTGCACTGTGTTCTATGGTGTCTCTTTGAAGGTCAGAGCATGGACTTCCCATTGTCTCAGGGGTCATTTGAAGGCTCTGATAAGCCCTCTGCCTCTGACAGGAGACCTGAATTAGAGAAGAGTTAGATAGAAAAAATAAAGTGTTTGTAATTTGTGTGCCCAAAACATGCAAGTCAGACTAAATCTCCATCCTTCTCTGGCTTTAGCAGACACGGGAGCCTGTGCAGTTTGCATGAAGAACAGCAGCTCGATGCCTCCTGAAGACCAGGACAAAGGAAAGATCAAGGCTGACTTCATATTCCTTGTAAGGATTTCTGGAAAATTTGTCTTTTTCTGTGACCTCTAGCATACCCTCATTCATGGTGTGTCCTCTGATATTTTAGTATGTCTTTATTTGTCAAAGTGCAAAATAATCTTCTATGCAAGTCTTTACACTTCTAATAATTAGAAGCTGTTGTCAATGGTGGAGCCTGAAGAAGCTTGTTTACAAGCTGAGGACTGCAGATTAACCTCTACACTCCCAGGGAGGAGCATCTGCTTTGTCAGCCAGTGAAGCAGTGGGCCAAGAGGGACTACAGGCTGAGCTGCTGTGGACTCCTGCTCTGCCTCCTGCCAGCTCTGTGACACTGAGCGAATTCTCTAGATCCCCTGAGGTCTTTGTTCTCTTCCATTTAGAGTCAATATTCTATTAGGTTTATTTAGGTCTGATGTAGCTTGTAGAGTTCTGAGAATCAGAGACAGGACATAGAAGGCCTGGGGAAAGCTCTCCTACTGGTGGCTTTTACTATATGTGAGGTGAGTGGGTTTTCTTTTTTTTTCATTCCCTCTGTTCCTAGTCTGAGTCAGAGAAGATTCTGCATAGTAGTGAGGGAGACATGGGTCTGGCATGTACATAGATGACCCTCTATCTGCTCTATGCCTCAGTGTCTTACATTAGCATACTTCCTCTTAAATCATTAAACATGTCATTAGGATTTTTTTTTTTTACCTTCAGTTTTTTTTTTTTTTTAAGTTACTTAGGGAAAAATTAACAACCCCTCTTTTTGTGGGTTCACTAACTCTCAAAATT